AATGTTGTCGACGAGCATTGCTACAAAATATGCTATCGCTGAAGGAACAATGAATGACAAAAATATTCCCCTCTCGCGGAGAAGTTCCGTCTCCACAAGAAGTATGACCTCAGTAAATTCTTTACCTAGTCTCAAGAAGAAAGCCACACCGAAACCTTTCTCTAAAAGACAGGGCTGATGCAACGGGCACCAAATGAGTACAATCCTGAATGACTAGAAGCCATCCAAGTAGGAGATCACCTACGTAAAGGAATAGCTCGTAGAAATAACAAATACGGGTAACACCCGTTTGGACACGTAACGATTGGACACCGCTCGATTGGACACGTAGTATTGGACATTGCTCGATTGAACACAGAATTATCGGACATCGCACAATCGGACACTGCACGATTGGATATCGCACAATTGGACATCGCACAATTGGACATCGCACAATTGGACATCGCACGATTGGACACCGCACGATTAGACACAGCACGACTGGATACAATACGATCGGATATAGGCGTCGCTCAAAAAATCTGCAAAGCGACCTTAGCGGACGATTAAAAGAATATTAAAGATAAAAGTGGTAATAGAATCCCACATAGCAAATGATCAAGACATACAATCCCGGCGGGCCAGCAATGAGGAGTTTACTCGACGAGTCGCCTTCTTAGAGGCGAAGGTTGGAACGAGACAAAGGATTGCGCCGGGTCAACCTCAATATACAGTTAATAATACCAGTGAACGAGTTGCGGTACGCCCAATTTCACCCCAGAATACAATTAAAGTGATTGAAAATGTCCAATTGGTTCTACCGTCGGACGCTCTGGCCATTCAACTTTTTATCAAGGGTGTTACAAAGAATCTGGATCAACTCTGAAGAGGACCTTAACTCAGTCCGCAAGCTCTCGAGACTCAGCTCACTAAGCAGATCACAGATGATTAAAGTGAGAGCATAACTCAAACTAAAAAGAAAAATTCCAGCTCAAGATGTTGCTCAATAGGGCCTTCTACATCATCAGAACCTATCAAGGACGGAGCTCAAGAAAAACAACCTATTGCACATTGCAAGGCTTCGGGTTGGAAGAACAAAACTGAACTTCTTCTTATAACTGAAAGTGTCTTTCCTCCACTTTCGGAAATCAATGCAGGGGAATGGACTATGATATCAAAGAAAAAAAGGAACAAGGAGAGAAAACGGGACGGCGTTTCCAGACTCCCAAAAAAGGAAATACAACAAATAGGCGTAGACCTCCTCACACAGTGTCGGAGGCAGTCAAGAAGAAAGTCATTTCCTACGTGGAGATATTGTAGAAAGCCCTATTTCACTGTCGGATCTCGGAATAGAAAACATTCGAATGCATAGAGCTCGTACAGGGGAACTAGTAATTGAGATCCGGGGACCTGACAGAGGGGGTATATCAATTGGACACCAATGTTTATTGGTCAGTTGAAAATAAAGCCTTTTGATTAATCAATCATCCTGGTCAATTTCGGCATCGGTCAATATGACTGGTTGTATCCAATCGCACTGTGTCCAAATAAACCTCTCCCCTTGACGAAGAGGTCAAAGCGGCAGAGTTAGCAAGCCATATGTGAGAGATTCTTAATAAAGAAATTCTATTACGATCAAAAGGGAGTGCGCAATCAAAAGAGCCGAGCTGCGGATACTCGACATTGATGATTCGATCTCCAAGGCTGAAATTGTCGAAACACTTGCCAAAATTGGCGAATTCCAATCCGAACAAGTAAAGATAAGAAGAATTCGCAAACCAGCGAGGTTGGAATTGTCTGGACCTACTGGGCCTAGACCTCCCTTAAGACTGTACTCCTTATTACTAACAATAACAGCACGCATAAACTAAAATGATCGTCAGAACAAGTGGTCATGCTTAAAGCTAGATCATTACAGTGCTTCAGGTGCCTAGAGTTTGGCCACGTCAAAACAGCATGCAGATGCGAAATCGATCAAACTTATATGTGTTATAACTGCGGCGATACTGGGCACCTGGCCAAGAACTGAACAAAAACGACGAACTGCGTGATATGTACAAGCGTGGGATTTTGATTAATCATCGTCTTGGGAAGCCAAACTGTTCAACAGTCAAAAACGTAAAACTTCCTTAAAATTAAATTAGTAATGATAGATCCAGAGGTTCATCCTCCAAAGGAGCCTTCAGTCATGAATGTAGAAATTACTTCACATGGCGGTTAAATTCATCCAGATCAATTTAAACCATTCCCGCCAATCGTAAGATTTGACCATGCAAATCATAATGGAATGACAGGCGGAAATCACGATAATGATCGAACCGCATCACATCCCACACCCGAATTGGACAGAATCAGAGGATAAAAGATCGGCAATTACTTGGCTTCCCAGCAATTTCCCGGGTGGATGCAAGAAGAATACCAAAGAAAACTTCGCAGCCATTGAATGTAGCGATACCATCGTGATCGAATGCTACTTTTCACTCAATCAGCCCTTGAATGAATTTAAGTTGACGTTGAAGTCCCTAGACAGAATTGTGCGCAGATTGGCAGGCAAACCAGTTATGGTGATGGAGGATTTCAACACTGGATCCACGTTATGGTGCTCTAATCGAACTAATGCGCGAGGCGAGCGAGTGGAAAAATGGACCACTAACTTGAGTTTACATTTAATAAACATAAGTGGAGTTAGCACCTATGTAAGATGGCAAGGAGAATCGATTATAGATCTGATATAGAGCTCCTTGGTTCTGTTAAGGAAAGTTCAGGAGTGGAGAGAGAGTTGGAGTCATTATTGGATTACCGATATATCTCCTTCTCCCTCAAAATTCTTCATCGTCAAGATTGTTCAGATCAAACTGGTAGGAATGTATTCCATCCTCCTAAGTAGTGTCTTAAGACCATGGTCTCGGACTTGCTTCGAGTTGTAGTCACAATTAAGAGCTGGTCTCAAGAGAGATTATCTCTGAGGATACCAATAGTACAGCCCAGAAAATCATTGACGGCTCAATGAAGCGTGTGATGCGGTTATGGGACAAGCGTTGAATTTCTGGAGCACAAGGCATTATACTGGTGGAATTCATATTTATCAGACCTTCACAAAAAAAGCAATAAATGCAGAAAGTTATACACCCGTCGACGAGGAAATCAAAAGATCATTGTTAATCATGAAGCAACTTTCCGCCTAGTCGAATCTTAAAACTAAAAGTTCAAAAAACAAAAGCGGGAGCGTGGAACAAGTTAATTTGCTTCATAAACGCGGACCCCTGTGGCAGACCTTACAAGCTAGTCATGAACAAAGTACAACTGTTGGCGCCACGAATCACCGAAATTCTTGAGTCTCGAATCAATGATACAATAGTAAAAGAACTGTTTTCGAACAAGAAAGCTCTTCCTCAACAAGAGCTCTCAGTTCCATGGAGAGAGGAATGAGGAGCATCTATTGAGGAGATCAGGTCAGCGATTTAAAAATCTCGCTCACGCTGCGTTGCCCTCGATGCAGACGGCATCACGGACCATGCTAGGTTTAATCGGGCGTATCCCGTTTGGACACGGAACGATTGGACACCGCTCGATTGGACATGTAGTATTGGACACGGAACGATTAGACACTGCACGATTGGACACAGAATTATTGGACACCGCACGATTGGACACCGCACAATTGGCCGATCAAATCAAAAGAAATTAACCTTATACTGAGTAGGGAGAATCAGGAGCCGTCAACTTATCGTCCGGTATGTCTGATTAACGAGTTAAGTAAAATCTTCGAAAGAATCCTGGTAAAGGGAATCAATCAATGCATTTAGAGTGACCCAGATTTATCCGGAATGCAGTATGGATTTAGGAAGGTCAGGTCTAAATGAGACGCTGTGTTGCACTTCAGGCAGATCACCCGAAGCAAACGAGAAAGATTAGACTACGGTTACAGTGAATCTTGATACAAAGAACGCTTTTAGTTCGCTCCTGTGGCCTTACATTTGTAATTCGCTGAAGGAGTAAGGACTCGAAATATATACGGCGGATTTTGGACATTTAGTAAATGTGTCGTACTGGACGTAATTATCAAAAATTGTTTAAAAAATAATAAACAATCGGAACTCTCTGTAAAAATGTTTCTAAAATATAGAACTCTTATAGAACTGTCGAAAACTACTATTAGAACTGCAGAAAATCATTAGCACGACACATTTTCACCAAATGTCGTGCTGGGCGTGGATATTAAAAATTGATTATAAATTGAATATCGATCTGAAATTGCATATATGTGCTGAACTTGAACAGAACTATCCGGAACTCCTGCCAAAAATGATAATACTCAACGCGTTTTAATACTTTAGGGGGAAGGGTGTCGTGCTAGATTCGCGAAGTTAGCACGACATTTTCTCAATTTCGATTTTTTAATATAAGGAATGCGGAACTCTTTTTAATTTTTATCAGGAACTATAGAACTATGAAAAGTGCTATTAGAACTCTTAGTATTTTTTTGAAATTCGTAAAACATCGTGCCAACTTCACAGACACCGAAATTAGGTGCTCGAACTGTTTGGCAGGAAATTAGATGTATAGTGGGGGAGGGGCTGACTTAACATTAAGCTGGCACCATCCATACAAAAAAACATAAATAAAATAATTATTAAAAAACAAATACATAATAATTAAGTGCTAATTAAGTGCTCTTAGAAACCGTTAAGATATATCCGAAATAAAATTTTTTTATATCACTTTACTTTTGTACGGCGGTGGGCGCGACCCACGTTTAAGTACGAAATTCTGCCAAACGGATTGAGCACTTAATTTGGCATTTAGATATCTTAACATAATATTAATTAACAAGATTGATATCAGTAACTATCGAGCACTTAGTTATTTAATATAACTTTACTCTTGTGAAATGGTCCACGCGCGACCAACGTTTAAGGGGTTACATACCTTTGTCGCGCGCAAGAATGGCCTATTCTCGGGAATTTTTTTTTCAGTAAATAATGCAGTAATCAATACAGAGTTTTTTTTTATTTTATTTGTTATATATTTGAGTATATGTATATAAAAAATTATTAAGTTTCATAAAAAATTGTAACTTTTATGGCAAGTTGCATGCACCAATGATGAGCGTTCATGATCCTAGTGTCTGCATGATTTTGCATTGTAGGTTAGTTCGATCTGAAAAATAAAAATATTTTCCGATAGATGTTAGAGAATTTTATGAAGAAAATTTTCGTTAAAATTTTATCCAAAAATATTAAAAATTCACTGAGTTATCGTGCAGACACTGACAAAAAAAGACGTTTTGAGAAAAACGCATTTAAATTTTTAAAATGAAAACTTTTTAATATATCTTTTATAAATCAAACTTACGATTACTCGGCTATTCCGGAGCCATAAGAAGTACCTTCCTGAGCTTCATTTGCCGTATTTAGCATTAATTTTGCCTGCCTACGAGCAGTTCTCGCTTCCTTTGTCTGTTACTGCGCCTTGATCCTAGCGTGCATCAACCAGTTTGCGTCCTCTTGCTGACAATAATCGTAAGCGTTTCGTCCAATTTGTATGCCCAATACATCTAATATTCGAAGATAGGCATCGGTTCCGTCATTGAAAGTACTCGCAGCCACATAAGCAGCAGTTTAAATTATTCTAAGGCTGCCAAAAGTCGATTTCGGAGCGATCTTCTAAATTTTCTGATTATAGCTTTCATTATTGTTTTGTGTATAACTTCCTAGACACCTTTGCAACAATTCTTCTTTACTTAGGGCTTCGTACACAGGTTTAATGGCTGTTTGAACGATGTCCAGTAACGCAGGTTTATGTACGTAATTCTTGAGAGTCCCTGCAGTCTTCCCTTGCTGCCATGTGCACCAACTATCGGCTCCGGTCGGGCAATACATATGTTGTGGCTTTGCGTCGGTGGAAATTTTATGATAAAATGTGGCCCAAATTGCGTCCTTCATATTTTTCACTGAATCACAATTATTTCTAATCGCCAAACCGTAATATACAGTTAATTTATCAATTAATGATGCTGTTAATTTTCTTTTGCCCTCGAGGCTCTGCGACTTCGATTTAGTGACTTTTGCTGTTTCTTTATACGTTTTTTAACGTTACGAAGCCACGTACCCATGCGTTTTTGTACATGTCCTGCGCATTCTAATTTCTTCGGTATTATATTATCATATATAGAAGCTTTAACAATTGCTGAAAAAGTTTTTGAGTCGCCGTCTCCAATGTAGTATGCAAACAGCATTATACAACTCAAGTGATCTTTGAAAGATTTCAACAATGGCATCGGATTCCATTTTTCCTGCACTTCCAATGTGATTTGCTGAGCACTGTTCTTCGTGATTTACTAGTCATTTTTCATATTTCATAGTACCTTTCTCTTTTTCGTGAGTCTCGCATTCTTTGCAGTAGGAACTTTTTACAACAAGATCCATGACCTTTCCCGTGTACCATCCGATGATAGTTGCAACACCAAAAAGCGAAAAAAATCTTCGTTTCATCCACGTTCCGTCTCCAGATATTTTAAGGCCGTCTGGTACATTTGGATGTGCAGCTTCATTAGTTAATTGTATTTCATTTTCAGCAGCCTTTTTCAGGGATTCCATACCGACGGCTTTCGCAGCAGTATGTATATTTTGCATGATCGCGTCGAACGATTTCTGTGCGACATTCTTGGGCAAATCCATTATGCCGCAAAAAAGCTGCATTCCTCGCTAATCCCTTACTAAGAATACGCATTGCAAAAGCAAATCGTCTATTAATTTCGTATGCACTTCCTATGAGCGGTGATGAACATACACTATTAATGTCTTTGTTACATGTAATACACTTAATGTTCAACTTGAACCCGAGTCCGCGAACACTTGATTGCAAAAATTTAACTTCGCCCCCACATTGGTTACAAACTACACAATCCGAAACTGCTGAAAAAACAGCTGCGAATTGCAGAATGCAATACGAAAAGTTCGGATCAAATAAAATGTCCTTTTTTTCGTGCAATTTCTTCGCGGACGCGCTCGTGTAATTTGTCTCGCTTTCCATACTTTCATTACTCGGTGGTTGTTTTCTTTTCTTTGGCCGTATATGTCGCATTTCACGCGACCCTTTAAAATCGATCGACCGACGTATCATTTTTTTTCTGCGTTTAACTATACGTTTAAACTATACTATTAATGTTTTCAGCTAATGTGCACTACTCGAGCTGCGAACACTAAATGCTTTATATTTCGGTTAATCGCAAAAAAGTCGCAAACAGATCGCAAACAAGTTGCAACAGGCAGCTGTCTCGATGCGTATCGAGCTCGGTGCACACCAAGCGGTCGAGCGCGTGAGTCATGTCCACTCCCGCATTTTCGTTCTTAACTTTGTCAATTTTGTGAATATTTTAATGCGCTTTGAATCATTGATTTTTTAAACTATATACAATTTAATAAGCCAATAAAAAAAATCGATCTTTTTTACTCGACAAAGATATGTAACCTTTTAAGTCCAAAATCCTGTCACACGGATCGAGCACTTAATTCGGCGTTTAAATATCTTAACATAATATTAATTAACAAGTATTTTGATACCAATAATGATCGAGCACCTAATTATTTAATATAACTTTACTCTTGTGAGATGGTCCACACGTGACCGACGTTTAAGTCCGAAATCCTGCCAAACGGAACGAGCACCTAATTGGGCGTTTACATATATTGATATAATATATTTAAAAAAATATTTAAATATTAATAACTTTTGAGCATCTTATTTTTTAATGTTACTTTATATTTGTACGAGTCGCGCCCACCGCCGTACAAGAGTAAAGTCCTATTAAATAATTAGGTGCTCGATAGTTACTGGTATCAAA